CGGTTGACTATTGTTTAGTATTCGATGTATCGGAGTGCGATTGTGTAACGATCCGGAGGTTCTCATTGACGTTTCTAGCAAAGACCAGATGTCGCGTAGACGTCATACCTTTTTCCGTGTTTTATGTAGTTGGTACGTATATTTTCTAGTGTGTTCTCGAAGCGAGATTAAATTTCTGAAAATGTCGCTAAGTATCAGCAGTCAGATGGATACGACAACAACAAAGTCAAAGTCAGAATAATTGAGGAGGCCTATGTGCAGCAGTGAACTATACTCCTAGGTTGATGAGATATACTTACCTGTAAAAGTGTTTGAAAGAAAAACAGCTAGAACTAGAGGTCACCTTCCTTATATTTGATAGAAAGCCAATATTGATGTGTCACATGTGTCATCATGGATGTCGTTGAGTAAATAACAGTGACAATCAAAGTACAACCATAAGTTTATGAAAAAATTTGGTGCTACAAACAACCTTTCGTAATTTTCACCGGTAATATATTTATTTTTTTATTTTGTTCGGAAAACATACAGTGAAACAATAACAGATTATAATAGGTGCGGTTATAATAGAAAAAACTGTAAGTTTGAGCATTTCTTCCAAGGTGTATTCAAATTGAACACTCGCACAGAGGCGAAGGTGTTTAAGCAGCTGCGTCCGAAGGCCGCACTCCGCCCGGCGATCGACGACTCATCGCGGACGTGAAAACATGCTTCATTCCTACAGTTAGGTACGATGTCGTTAAGTGCTATCTTATTGTGTCACTAATTCACTATGAGTATCGTTTTCTCGATTTTTCTTCGGCGGTTAGGATTCCACTTCTGCATAATAAATTATTTTTTTAATTAGCCACGACCCTGTGCTATTAAGGATGTTGAGATAAATAATCGAGAGATATACGAGTAGATCCTTATTATATAAATAGGTATTCGCCAGCCAGCAAGATCAGTGTCTGTGAAGCGATTTCTACAGTTAAGTTCCCCGGACTGCACTTTCAGGTTTTGCGCTCGCAGAACACGTTGTATAACTCTGCGCGCGCCCGCGGCGCCGCCTGCTGGCCGCTGGGGTCCACTTTGCCGGACACTCGCGAGCGTAAATAGCCGCACGAATCGAACAGTCCCAATGTCTAAGATTCTCCGGTGACTAAATTATTTGATGGCATACTCGTATTATTTTTAGATAACATTGTTACCGTCGCATGTTTGTTTGCGTGCGAGCGGCGAGCGGCACTCCTGCGTTGACGCTGCCGGTGCGCACTATAAATACCGAAGCTGCTCCGACGTCCCGTCGCTGGCGTCCGTGACGCGACCACATACATATTTATGGGGAGCGTCGATATAATGCACAGTGCAGGTAATATTCAACGTCGCGGCGTGCGGCGGCCGCTCCCGCGCCGCGAGTGCTAAGTTCAAGGCATCCGTTGCTCAACACCAGCAGCACTGCCTTGTCCCCGCGCCGCGCTAGAACAATGGAGACAAACGCAGTGTCGACCCGTCACTTTACCTACAAAGCCTCGCGTTTCACGGACTCATAAATAAACACAACATTTTAGAAGTTACGCAAACAGAAAATATTTCATTGTAGGGTAGAAGTTATTTAAGTACATACGAGGTGTATTCAGAAAACATGGGGAATTTTAAAATTTCGTGAGTATGGAGAGTGCGATTGATTTTTTAAAATTTTTATTAAATTAGTTCATATGCCCCTGAAGTATAATAACATTTTCAACTCTTTTCGTTGTTTACTTTTTCTGTGGCAATCATTTAGGTTAGACATGTTTTACGAGTCCGGCGATTTTTGTTTGTTAGGAAAAATGGATCAAAGAATTTGAATCAAGTTTTACTTATAAAATGACATGAAAGTAATTGAATTCTACAGACTGCTATGAGTGAAACAAGGGTCTACGAGTGGTAAAATTGTATTCAAGAAAACCATGAAGGCACATGAAGGCGTACAAGATGACGAGCGCTCTAGACGCACCAGCATATCACCAACCCATGAAAATGTGAAAAACAGAAAGAATTGGCTATGAAAAACCGTCGAATCACAATTAGCGAAGATGTTCATATCGTTTAACTCATGCCATGAATATTTTTTGGATTTTTTTGGCAAAACACATGGCAATAAAATTTGTTCTAAAATTGTTGAATTTTGAGTAAAAGTGGCAGCGAATTTTTGCTAAAACAATACTATAACGATGTCCCTGTCTCCAAATTTTCCAAAAAAATATATGTGTGACTGTGACTTGTTCCTATTTCAGAAATCAAAAATAACTTTAAAGGGTCGTCGTCTTATAGGCATAGATGATATTAAACGTGCGTCGCCAAAAGATGTAAAGGCTATCTCAAAGATAGACTTCGAATTGGAAATAGCGCTGGCACACGTGCACAATGTACAATAAGGACTATTTTAAAGGTGACAATATTAATTTAGAGTTAGATGAACAAATAAATACTTAAAAAATTAACTAAAATTCTTGCTATTTTGGTTACATTTACAGACTATATAATTTGTTTCTTCGTTAACTCGAATAGAACTAATAGAATAATAAAAGTACATAAATAATATTACACTTGAGGCCCAATTTCACCAACAAACGAGCCTAGAAAGAAACATAGCTGAATCTATGTTCAATCAAGATGTAATTGTCATGGCAACGGATTGTTTGCCATCATAACAGAAAATGATTTTGTTAGGCTGAGTTGCACCATCTTACTTTAACTTTAACAAGTACGTCGAAAATCTGTCAAACTCCATACAAAATACGCCGGTTATTGTTATAGTTGCGGTCAAACAAAGCAAGTTGGCAACTCAGCCTTATTATTTCACTGACACTTTCCGGGACAGTAACCCACACACAATAGAAGTTTAATTGTTATGACGGGGACGGTAAATAGCTGGCATCCCTTATTTGCGGCTAGATTTAAGTAGGCAACCCTATATCATAATAAACAGAAAAAAAAATTCTTGCTTTCATCTATACTATCTATTTCTATACTAATATTATAAACCTGAAGAGGTTGTTTGTTTGAACGCGCTAATCTCAGGAACTACTGCCGGTGCCGGCACCTATTCAAGTTTCAACCACAATGCTTACCACTCCTGGAGAGTTGTCGAGAATGACAATGCGCAACTTTGAGGCCCTGTAACTTCTTTATTTGTAGATAAATTTTCATGATTCTTACTTTTTTAAGTTTTATTAAAAGAAAAAAATTGGAAACTTCTCCATTGTAGAAGTGATTATTTGATGAATTAATAATATTATGCTGGATCTAGCGGCCGCCCGCGACTTCGTACGCGTGGATCCGTTTTACCCCCTTAGGGGTAGAGTTTCGTAAAATCCTTTCTTAGCGGATGCCTACGGAACTTATTTTTATTTTTACTTATTATTTTTGAGTGATTTCAAACATATTAGTAGGTAGCTAAAATTTAAATTTAAAAACGTATACCGTTTTAATTTTCCCATTAAATCATGGTCCCATGGAATCAAAGTTACGCGCGTCACTGTCGTTTAATACGAGCAGTTTATTTCGACGATAGATTCAAGTGCTTATGTAGTACTATGCTAATTTACTACGGGAATACTTAACGATAGCATGAATATATGTAGATGTGAATGACGCGGTTGAAATAGCATTGACGCAATTAAATTGGTTTCCAATTAGTAATACAGTTGGTAATTTGGGTCGGTTGCATCGCCAGTTAGCGCGGTTTCAGGAAAATGTGCTTGTTATTGCTCAACGGATGCGTTTGTGAAACGAGAGCAACCTTGAACACTGCAGTGCGAGGAAGGCGCCAGTAGCAATACTATGCGTCAAATATGTAATGTTGATGCTTTGCTAAGCGCCGATTAACAAAACAAATACATAATAATTGTGTGGTCTGATAACTAGAAATAAAACGACAAATTCAAATAATTGCAGGAAAAACAAGAAAACAATTATTGATAACAGTGATTAAAAAATCGCCATAATTTTTTCGATTTCAGGTGGTTAATTTACAGTTAGATACAGACTAATTTAGTCAATTAAGTACATGCAACAAAAACAGGAAACATGTAGGTAGGTACAACTGAAACTTAAAAACATCAAAATATTCCTTTTTGGTGTAAAAGCTCTTTTCTATCAACTATATTTTTAATTTTCTTTTAACAACATTTGTGTTTGATATTTATTTCTCACACAGGTCGAAATGATATTATAGTAATTTATATATGTATTCTCAATTCGAAAACACGCGAGAAAAAAAATTGAAGCAGTTTTTAGGTCAAATTTCGTAAAAAATTAAATAAAATCAAAGATATCAATTTAAAAAAATTTGTTCACTTAGAGTCAAATGCGCGAACTTGTATTCTTAAAATGACCTTACCTACACACCCACGAAGTTTGTCAAACCTTCCGCCAAACACCCTGTATTTACAGATAGTTGCAGGTAATAGCACAAATAATTTAAAATTGATATTGTATTATTTTACCTAATTAAAATTTGCATGTTTCATTTTTACCTTTTTATTATATTATGCACTTTCCTGCGTCCGTCCTGCTTAAAGCGCTACAAACCGGTCTCAGTTGGTCTTCAATATCTCTTTAAAACGAGCCTCTAGTTGGTCGTGTTCATGCTGATATGTTACATTTATTGATTTTATTTGTGATCATGGTAAGACTGTAAATTATTTAATGACCTAAATCTATACGTCTTATCTATCTATACAAATATTATAATGTATACTATTTTTACTAATATTATAAAGCCGAAGAGATTATTTGATTGATTGAACGCGCTAATCTAAGACCAGGACCTACTGATCCGATTTGAAAAAAATATTTTTGTTTTGGATAGCCCGTTTATCGAGGAAGGCATCTAACATCATCCTACAGGCAATAGAAGCGGAGCAGTAAAGAAAAATGTTACAAACAAAGGTAAATTAATATTGTTCAAACTATTTTCACGCGTACTAAGTTGCGGGCACAGCTAGTAAATAAAATGGTGACAATGAGGTTGTTTAGGCAAAGCTTGGCACAGATGTCGCTGTGTACTTCAGACCCATAATAAAAAAGACGCATAAAAAGTTATCAATAAACTTTCAGCATTGTTCGAGTTTTACTCATCGGTTTACATTTATTATAAAGTCTAGTAGTAAACAAATACTACTAAAGGATTTTTGAAGGTTTTTATGCGACAGGACGATAATTGTTGTGATCATTAGTGACTGTGAAATCTTAGTTTTGAATAACAATTGAACTTATGTGCGACGTGATTACTGTGGTTAAATAAGTATTTAGTTTTTATAATGTATAGCACATGGAACGTAGAGGCCCTGAAAGCTAAATTAAGAGAACGGGGTGCATCTTTGAAGGGCAGAAAAGCAGACCTAATTGAAAGGTAAACATAACCTCAATTTCATGTTATAAATTTTATTCATCGTATAATATTAGCCTAGACGTCTTAATGATCTAGGTGACATCAAAATGTAATGTACTTCGCGGCTTTAATAAGTGAATATTTATTTTACAGACTTGAGGCATATGACAGGAATCAGAATTTTGATGCTGTTCAAGCGGAAGAAAATGATGATCCAAAAATGGTTTTACCAGAAAATGATGCTTATCGGGACATCAACAGCAGTATGAAGCTACCACCAATTACAAAGGAACATATAACCCTTTATTTCTTACAGTAAGTTCATTCTTTTAAGTACAGTTCTTACTAATTCTGATACAAAAACCTAAATCATTTAACAATGATAATTACCTAAATAAATTTTATTTTTTTTTCACTTTCAGATTTCATAAGAACCCAAATGATGGTAAATCATTATATGAAGCACGCTTCCTACATTTTTTGAGAGCAGCATTTATTGGTGACTCCTGGTACTTTAAAGGATATGTCAAAGCTTCAATGAAAAGAATTATGTATCAAGCTAATGTTAAATTAAGTATAAAAGGTGAGATTTTGGAGTGCAACTGTGAATGTGTTGCTGGTAGTGGAGTGAGTGCTCACTGCAAACATGTGGCTGTAGTTCTTTGTGGACTTGAAAATTTTATAAATGACAAAATTCTTCTGAAAACAGAAGCACCCACAGAAAAACTACAAACTTTCCATATGCCAAAAAAAATTTTTACAGGCAGTCCATTAAAAGCGCACAAGTTGCCATCCAAAAGAAAATCTATTGAGAATATTGTATTTGAACCATATAAAAAAAGAATTAATATTCAAGAATATACCCAAAAAGTGAGAAATATTATTCTTAACTGCAAATCCCAAATGCCCTTTAAACAACTATATGGGCCTGCAAATCCATATGCGATTGAAAATGACCATGATTACTGTGGACCTGTGACCAACAAAATTTTTGAGCAACTAGAATTAAATACATTATCTTTAAACAGAATTCAAGAAATAGAACATGAAACTTGCGGGCAGCGAGAAAATCCTAAATGGTTTATTTACAGAAAATGTCGCCTGACTGCTAGTATATTTCATACTATATGCCATATGAAAGAAACCACTAAAAATGGTTATGCCATGCAAATACTAGAAAAAGAAAATATTTTATCAAGAGCTATTATGCATGGTATAATTAATGAAAAAGTTGCATTAAAACAGTATATTGATTTATACGAGTTAGATGTGACAGAAAGTGGAGTGCATATTTCAGAAGAAAGGCCCTATTTGGCTGCTTCGCCTGATGGTATTTTAAATGAAGAGACAATAATTGAAATAAAGTGTCCTTATGCTAGTAGACATCAAGTTATAAGTCCAACTACAGTACCATACTTAATCTACATTGACAATAAGTTATGTTTAAAAGCAGAAACACCATATTATTATCAAGTTCAAGGGCAACTTTACTGCAGTAACAGAAAATATTGTAATTTTATAGTTTATACCTTTAAAAGTTTAGAGGTGGTTTTTGTTAATAGGGATGATGAATTCATAGAGCAAATGCTATACAAATTGGACTCTTTTTATCATTCTTATTTCAAGAAAGCTATAATTAACAAATATTATTATAAGAATTATTTAGAAATTATAAAACATGATTTTTCTGAATAACCATAATTAAACGTGTTATTTTTTGATGATTATTGTGCCAAGGTATTGTGAAAACAAAAAATAAAAGATATTTTATAATAAGGCTTTTATTTAGAACTATTGTCTGTATAACAAAATTGCTTATTAAAATTTCACCTTCGAATTAACAAAATATTATAAAAATGAAACACTTCAACCAAAAGGTTTCTAGACATTGAGATAAGATGCTAAAAATATTAATTTACAATTTTTTCCCTAAAGTTACATAACATGAGGCAAACAAAAAATATTTTTGACATTAACGGAACATAGTATGCATTGACATCAGTTTTAAAATTTTTATAAGTTTTTATCAGACCTATTAAACGTTCAATATGTATTCGATTAGCAGCTAATTTCTGGTCATGTTTCAATTTTATCCCAGGTAATTGAGATAAACCTTTCAAAAAATTTGGCACAAGTAATGTTATGTCTCTAGGTGCTAACAAATCTTGAGTGTTAAATCCCCTATCTGCCATGATTCCATCACCTGGATTACATTTATGAATAAGATTACAGCGTTCTATGATTTGCCTGTCACTAGTTGATCCTCCATATCCTTCTGAACAATATGACAGTAGTCCACCAGGTGTGGAGCCAACCAGAAACTTAATTGTGTTGTGATGTTTGTAACTACTAAAAGTGGCCTGTTGTGATTTTGGGTTTTTAGGTCTTGTGATAGGCACTTCAGTTCCATCTATAATTACTCTGGTAATTTTATGGTTTTTTTTAAACTGTGATGGCATAAAATAATCAACGAGTTCTCTACTTGGCCATATATTTAGTTTTGACCACAATTGGTGTACAAAATTTATCCATGTTACAAATACATTACCTACTTCTGATTTACTGATATCAAAATGTTTTGATAGAATAAAATCATCTAAGTTTCTTCTGAGTTTCATTAACATAAGTAAAAACTGATCTTCAATAGACATATTCATAACATGATTCCTACGATAACAAATACTGTATGCCATCGGCAAAAGAGTTGATAAAACAGTCTTAAACTTCTCAAAGCTTTCCAGTCCAGTATAGTATAGTATAGTTTCATCATCTGTCATAAGCTGATAGTTTGAAAAAAGCAAATTCAAAAGTGGAGTTTGTGTAAATGAATTCACAAGCCTGATTGATCTTTCTGGTTCATCGCTAACCGTGTTTCCTTTTTCATGTGTTTTAATTTCAATTTCCATTTGTACATCGGGTAGATTTTCTTCTTTATCAGAGACTTCAATTCTATCTTCCATGGAGTAATTACCAGTAAGTGTTTCTATAGGGTTCTGTGGAGGAAATAATGCTTTCTTTGCTGACCTTTCCATGTATCGATTTTGTCGTTCTATAGCAGATGTTGAAGGTTTAGGTGTCCATGGGAAAATGGAAGGAACAACACCTTTTTTTAGGTGTTTACAAAGTGGTGGCAGTCCTGGAAATAAATTTCACTTATTAATTTCAGTGACAACAAACACACGCATAATAACCTGTTATCTAGAAAACTAATTAAAAAATATATGATTAGAACCATTTCTAATAAGATAATTTTACCTGTCGTAGCACAAATTTCTTGATAATCGGATTCTTTAAAATGTTTATAGCATAACCTCGAATTCTTTGAAGCTTTGAATTTTTTTATTTTTGTAGCTTTTTCCCATAACTTTTTTAACTTCGGATCATTTGGAAATGTATGTCTTCCATTCTCGTTGCACCCTACTATCACACATCGAGGCATTTTTTATTTAAACCAAAAAATAAAACTTTGTTATTCCTCCAACTTGTTTGTTATGGGTCAGAAATACAAAGCGCAGCCTAGCGGAGGAAAAATGTACTATCCAGTAAACAACTCCATTGGTACCATCATTAAAAAGAAAACTGTGTTTTATTTTTTACTTAACCACGTTTCAGGGAACAAAAATGAAATATTAAAAGAAATAGGTACGACAGATTACGATGCAACTTGCAGAATACCTTGAGGTTCACGGTCGGCGCCAAGTCCTTGCTAGAGAATTATAATTATCGGTAACGGGCAGGCCCGCGTGGAACGGGACCGCGCGCGGGGGGCGCGCACCTGCGCCTGCGCACGGTGCACGCGGACCGGCCGCCTCACACTGCCACCAGCATTTGGAGCCTTCACGAGCTCATTTTCATACCCATCTTTTACTTCTGGGGATTTACTAACCTTCTGCCCACTAAAATCATGAGAAAAAATAAGAAGACAGACAAACAAAACAATGATTGTTCAAATCTGTTCTACTCGATTTTATGATTTTCAGTTCTCCAGGAAAACACCATCTAATAATTTAAATGGAAGTTCACTAAAATCATTTATTTTTAAGAATCGCAAGTCATCGGAAAATTAAAAAAACACTCGGATCAAATGGTTTTACTTGCCCTAGCAACGTAACAACAATACCTATAATCCGATGAAATTGAAAATATAAACATTAAGCTGATAGTCGTAGTAAATGACGATCGACGATCTGGTAAAGGTCGCGGAAGAGCCTGGATGCGGGCAGCGCAGGACCGTTCATTGTGGAAAACCTTGGGGGAGGCCTTTGTCCAGCAGTGGACGTCATTTGGCTGAAACGAACGAACGAACGAACGTAGTAAATGACAGTTCTATATAATCGTTGAGTCACGAGAAAAAGTATTTCAAGGTTCGCAACTGCATTGTTTATACCTACCGTACGGTATATTTATTATTAGCAAGCATTTCAATAATAAAACGAGTGCGATATCAGCGCGTTTCCGCCGGCAGCGTGTTCGCATTCTCTGTAGCACGTTAGAGCTGCACCGCGACAACGCGCGCGGCGTGCTGCATTGTTTTGTTATCTCCTCAATATCGCCCGATAACTGCTGTTTAGCACGTAGTACATCTACCGATAACCCAATCAGGTGCCAACTAAACAACAGAGGCGCCTCCATTGAAAAGGCAGGTTTTGAGGTTATTTCGAGCGGCGCCGACACGTGCGCCAACGTGCTTACGGCCCGAAGCCTTCGTGTGTGGATGGACAAATAGTTACATACGCGAGTTTTTTCATAATTCGATCTTAGTTTATTTCATAATATAGAACTGCATATGGCATTCTTTTCATAAAATACAATAAGTATCGTAGATTTCCAATAAAAATTTACTGGTGGCTTGCTTCACACTTCGCACTGACTTCTCGAGCAGAAAGTTGAAGTGATAGGTAGGTAATTTATAAGTAATTAGTCGAGTATCGTCAGTCATCGTTCCACTTGGCTGGGCCGTCGATGCGCGTGCGCTGCCGGAGTGTGCGGCATCGGCACCGCGTGGTGACAAGTGCGGAGGGTCGGTCGGCGACCTCGCCGCCGTGGGCGCGCGATAAACTTCATACGCTCATCTACATAACACACATGTGCACAGCCATAAGCCGTCTGTATCGCTCCGGCTGGTTATGTTCGATGCCGTTACATTTCTTGCTTTGAGATCTCGTTCGGTGCTCGGTTCTTGTTTCAAAACTCGCCGGCCCCGATCTGCGGTGAGTCCGAGTATTGATGCCACCAAAATTTAAAAATGTTCACGATATAAGCAAGTATCTTATCGCGCTATCGATTCAAAGCAGTATGTTATCTAAGTAATCAAAAACGAAGTCGCTCTATTAACGACGTAAAATGGCTAAATCATTAGAGCTGGACTAGCGTGGTAAATGTGGTAATGCCATTCTCTGACGTAATAGAGGCAAGTGACACATGTAACAGGAACAGTGCTATTTTTAGCACTTTAAAAACGCGGTTAGTTAATCGCGTAACTCTACTTATGGGATTAAAATGCCGTGTTTTAATTAAAACGCGTTTGTAAGGCAACACTTGAGCGTCATTGGTTTTCCTTCGAGAGTTTTTGCTTACGTGTATGGATTCACACGCGAGCGCCGGCAGTCGTAGCAAGAACTAGCGTTTGTTTTCGTTATGTATCTCTTCGGTATTGTTCTGCGCCTACTACTTGCTGGATTCGGTTACGATTACAGATGCCTGTGCTTTAGAACGCAAATTCCAATAGGTAGTTGTCCAACATGCTCCATACTTTACGAATAAAACGGATACAGAAGAGATTTCTTTGGCATTTGTCACGCTCCTTTGGTCTTACAAAAAAGCATTCATCTTATAGAGAAAGGCTCATGCACTTCAAAATGCTATCACTAAATTTGCGTAAGGACTAGCTTGACCTGTTCCTCTAGAAAAGTGGCAAAACGTGACTGTTGTAAAGATGGTCGAAGAAAGGTCGTTTTTTGTATGGTTACATCGCTCCGTGAATAGATTCGATCGAATCGAATCGAAAATTCGATCAAAAAGTGCCACGCTTTTCTCCAAAACATCATAAGAAATAAGGTTGACGGTGGCCAACTCCTGAGTAAATTTAATCTTCTCGTACCACGTACGATCCCCAGCAAGCCGATCTCACCCCTTAGTGCCCCCTGCCGCAAAACCGTCCTGGGTAGGAGCTCTACCATTCCTCGTTTATGCAAGTTGTTAAATGAGCACAGTGTGGCAGTGGATTTATTCTTTCTAGTTTGCCTTACGGTTCATATCCATAACATCCCTGCTTTAAACATATTACTTTACAAATTAGAAGCTGTGTCCGCGACTTGTTCGAAAATCGTTTGAATATTATTTCCTGTTATCGTTACATTTTTCATGATGCTCCTTCTAGTGGTTGTAGCTATGTTACATGGCTGTATAGCCTTCCTTGATAAATGGACTATTCAAAACAAAAAAAATTTTTTTAAGATTGGCGTGTTAGCTATAAGCACACACACTGCAGCTTAATCGTGCAAATAAAAATATACCATAACGCAATGTCTACTTCTGTTAAGATCCTCATATCACATTGTATTGAAATAATCGTTTAATTAGACCGCTTTTCAATCGAGTTTTAGTTGTTGTTTTCAAATCCTCAATTATTTTAAAGGGTAAATAAATATTTATAAACTGAGATAGGTTTATAATAGTAATTTCACGTTCACAGAGTTATCAGATCGGATGTTTGTGTAGTCATGTAGTGTTTTCGTAATTGTCATAGTTTAGTTCAATAGTGAAGATATTGCAAATTAATGCTTTTTATCCCAGAAATATTAGGTATATTTAAAAAAAAAGTTCTGCACATCATCTCAATGAACTAGTCCTCGGCCTTGAAAACTTCAGCCATGATGCCATTTCAATTAAAATTCCTCGTAAAACTCATGGCCGCAATGTTGGGAGCGCGGGCGCGTAGCGCGGGAGCCCCGCGCCCGCGCAGTGCTGCTTGACATCTCTCTGCTAGGGTTGTCCAACTACAAGGGACATTTCTACGACGCGCAGCGATAGTGTCTACTGCTGAAGACATGAAAATAATGACATGAATTACATACATTGCCGGTAACATATTCATTGATCATGCGGAGTGATGCGCGCATGACGTGCGCTATTCAAGGAGCGCAAGTGCCCCTGCAACTGCTCTGCAGCTCTACGTGCACGCCGCTGTTTTGTTTTCAACCTTAGCATTTCATGTAAAAGCT